ATGGCCGGAATATGAGCCTTAAAGCTTTTAACCAGTTGGTGGGGTTCTCTCGTAAGTGAAGTGAGCTCTTTAGATGATGATTTTGATGGAATGCATCTTGAATCAGGAAGTTCCGACGAAGAAATGGCTGTTGACAAGGTGAATTCAAACGGTTGGTGCGAAATAGAACCAGAATCCAATGCAGAATTCATGGAAGATTATGGACTCGTCGAAGAAGTAGTTTCTGCTTCAGAAGATACACAATGAACCCTATCGATTGCTATCGACATTTCATCGCGGACGAAATTATTAGCCTTATGGTACTTGAAACTAATCGATATGTGGAACAATACTTGCAAACCCATGAGATTAGTAGACGGTCAAAATTTCGTCAATGGAAACCAATCACTGGTGAAGAGATGCTGAAGTTCTTTGGAATCATCATCGAGATGGGATTGGTACAAATGCCTGAACTGAGCCACTACTGGAGCAGCAGCCAGTCGTACGGGTCGGAGATTATTCGAAATGCTATGCCGAGAGAGAGGTTTGAATTACTCCTCAAGTTTTGGCATTTTTCGAACAACGATGACAAAAAACCGAACGGAGATAGGCTGTTCAAGTTGAAACCACTCTTGGATTTATTGAAAGTTAGATTTTCGTCAGTATATATATCTGGTTCAGTTATTACTATCGACGAAACTATGGTACCGTGGCGAGGCAGGCTTTCGTTCAAGCAATGTATTCCTGGAAAAGCATACAAGTACGGCATAAAGATGTACAAACTAGCAGCAATCAATGGGTACACCTCGAATTTTATGATTTACACTGGTCAGCTAGATCCCATGGCAGGTCTTGGACATGCTCAAACGGTGGTGTTGAGTTTACTGGATGGCCTTGATGTGTGTCATCGAACTGTGGTAGCTGACAATTTCTTTACCAGTATTTCTCTTGCGGAACGTATGTTGGAACATGATACGTATCTTATTGGAACACTGAGAAGTAATCGTGCCGGATCGGGAAGCGAACAGCAAAACCTTAGACGTGGTGAAGCTTATGGACTGGGAAATAAAGATGGCATCAAACTGATCGTGCATATGAAAAAAACGTTTGCATTGGTTTAATAAACTGAAAAACAATCTCATCCATAGTGCTTTTAAGATCGTATTGAGCATTTCTTGTTTTCTTTTTGAGAAGTTGTTTTTCAGTAAGCCAGTGCAGACGAGCAGCAGTCCATCCATCACTCTCGATAAGTTGAAAAGTATGACGAAGAAATGTATAAGCTTCAAGAGTATCGTCTTCCAGGAGATTACGAAATTTGTCGGTACCAGATTTATATGCATAATAAAGAACGAATAAGCCTGTATCGATCGGGCAAGTGTTAAATATAGAGAAACATTCGCCGGCATATAATGCATTTTTTATTCCATATGATGGCCAC